TGTTGTAATAAAAGCGTGTTTTTAGTTTTTTTAACTATAATATTATTACTATTCTATTCGATCGAATAAAGGCCGTGTCATCAGTTTTGTTTGCGAGTAGAAAATTTCTTACAAGCCTTGGCAGAAATCGGTAGCACCGTACAAGTCTCCATGCATTTTTTTTATATTCCCAAATGAATAAAAATCTTCAGAAGAAAATGCGTCCTAGTGGTGGTAAAATCTGTAATTTTCTTTATTTACTTGCAAAAAAGAATAAACATTTGTGCTCAATCTATTCTTTAAGTGTCTGGTCAGGACTAGGCTCCAACCCCGTCGGCCTACACCAATTTGGATACGCTCACTAAGATTTTGCACAAAACTGCAAAAAAGCATCAAACTACTTTTTGCGATGCCTACTTATCTAAAAAATTGAATAAAAGTGGCAACTCTTTTCGTACACTAAATATATCGTCGCACTTGAGCAGCGTTAGCTCAGTGGTTCTAACATTGATACACATTTAGTGCATACTTACTTATAAATATATTTATATTTGTGTAAATATGCACATACAAATCCAATATGTAAGGTAGTCCAAAAATGCATTTAAATAAGTAAAGTCGGTATTTTAATGCTCTCACCGTCTAAGATTGTTCTAATTCTAAAAATACTTTACCTCTGTTTTTTGTTTAATAAACAAAAGATTAGAAGCCGGTCAAAGTTGATATTGATTTTCAAGAATTCCATAACATTTCTACGAAAACTTGTTCTTTCCCATATAAAATACATAGAAAAATTTGAGCGACCTCTATATAATTTTTTCGGTATAGAATAATCCAAGGGGAGGAAGCATTAAAATCCCGACTTTACTTTTTTTTTTACCGCCCTAATGTACGGCATGTTTTCCAGTATGTAATCGTAAATGTCTGTGTCATATTCTATGTAGCTAGCCAGTAGTGGCTTACATTTTTTTATCTTTTCGCCAGTCACAAACAAATTTGTTACAATTTTCTTTTAGCTGATGCAAACAATTTATATTTCTATCTTCTCCTTTCTGTCTTCTCCTCTTTTGCTCCGTGTCTCTTTTGTGTACTAAGTTGCTTTCAGCATGGCGCTTTTGTTGTCATTATGTTTGCACAAGTGTTTTATTTTTACATACAAACGCACAGGGCTGGACTTGAGGGGCCAGTGGCCACAAGTCGGGGGCCCTTACCAGCAATAAAAATTGCAATGATTCAAATTTTTAAAATCGGAAATTAAATTTGAATATAATTTATATGCAGAAATAGATATGAAAACCTTGGTAATGAAGAAAAAACATTGCAAGAAATAGCGCCGCTATTGATTTCAGCTGAATCTGCACTGTTGAAGTATTCTTTGGCAAAGCCAAGTTTGATAATTCTTAACAAATAACATTTATAATTTCTTGCAGTTATACAAATTTCGTTCATTATATTTAAAACAAAATCAAATTATGTATTTATTACACTGTAGATTTACTAGATCAATTTTATTTTTATTTTTTTCAAATTTTAAAAATTTATCGTTTTTTTTTCCTATATACATATGTTTTGAAAATAGATGATAAAACAGAAAACTTTTTGCGGAGGTTGTATAATATAATTAATAATTACAATGATTTTCGGCTGACCAAAATGTTTCTTTATGTATAAGAAGAACAAACAATGTACAAAGATATTTTAAGTGATTGAGGGAAATTGTAGAAGCGCAATGAAAATTAGTTTGTTCGCATTGAAAAGATCATTAATTTTTCAGCAAACTCTGAAAATTTCAAGTCATTTAATCAACTACTTTTTTGTTTAATCAATTTTGTAACTTAAAAATTAATGAAAAACGACTTCATCAAGCGTTTACAGGATGCACGGAACAGAACAACCTTTTTGAATAAACAAAAAGTATTATTTCTAAATTTCGGAAAAAAGTGATCCGTATCGCGAATTCTCACCCAATAGGAATAAGAAATATGGAAGGAATATATCCAGTTTATACGTTTCTTGACTTAATTTCCTAATTTTGGAC